AATTACGGACAACATCCACAAAGTCAGACCACATATCAAACAATTAATGAGGTGATACCGGAGAAAACGGATATGGGAAAACTACACGAAACCTTACAATACGAAATGAGTCAAGCACAACAACGGTAAAAAGAACAATACAATAAGCACCGAAGACCGGATCCAAACATACAACCAGGAGATATGGTATGGCTAATACCACGCAATATCCATACGATACGACCATCAAAGAAATTGGACTACAAGAAAATCGGACCCTTCAGGATATTGGAAAAAGTGGGCAGCCGAGCTTATAAACTCGACCTTCCCCCCTCAATGCGAATACACAATACATTCCACATCTCACTGCTCGAATTACACAATGACCATAAGTTTCCTTCACAAACACTTATTCTTCCCCCTCCGATCGAACTCGACGGAGAACCAGAATACGGGCTCGACGAAATAGTCGATTCCCGCTTCTTCCACGGTCACCTCCAATACCGAGCCAAGTGGACAGGATATTCTCCTGAACATGATAAAACTTGGTACTTCGTACACAACTTCGAAAACGCACAAGATGCCATCTCAACCTTCCACCAACGATACCCAGGCAAGCCCGGCCCAGGTGACGATCACGTTCAACCAAGACAAAGGCGAGGGAAAGGCTCCCATGCCATTGCAACCACACGAGGGCTGGGGCGATAGCCCCCGCCAAAACACACCCACCAGCCCCGAATACTCATTCATGGGGCCAACCGACGAGGAACTTAAGGAAAGGGAACAACAAGCACAGCATAACGCCATGTCATGGACGGTATGCTACGATGACGGTTGCCAAACACACTTTGGCGACAAAGAAGGCTCGGGATGGTTCCCGAGGGAATGTCAAAAGCGTGGCCCACGCCCGGACCACGTTCTAAAGCATTGGCAATAATGCTTCAGAAATGGGTGCAGAACGCACAGGGCACAGAAAATATCTGCGGGATTCTACCCGCAGAAAGATGGAAGCAGGAAAGAGTTGGAAGGAGAAGATGCCTGAAAGGCATGGGCCGCGAGGACGCGGTCCAGGCAGGGAGGGGCCCAAGACTCCTCTGCAGACACGGAATCGGATGTCAGGAGCCTACACAGGCAGATCTGGGGACTCAGAGAACGACTGGATCAAGCCGAGGCCACAATTTTGGCAAATGACAAAACGATCGCGGAGCTTAGACAGCTGAACGACAATCAGCGGCACACGATCGAGATGGCGAATCTGACTCTGGAATCGGTAAGGGTCAGATGGAGGACGGCAGACGAAAAGTTCCACAAGCTGAGAAGGACCATGCGCTCGGCAGAACGGGAACTATTGAAACTGGGAGTAAAAGCCTGATGGGACTCAGGCTTAGAAGGAGGGGAGCTAATGTCACAAACATGGCTTAACGAGGAAAGGGTTTTCATGTTACGCATAGTTATGAGTCACAGGTATGTTATTGTTTCGCGCATATGACCTATTGGGGTTATATGATTTGTTATGTGTGGGATTTGTGATGCTTTCGCACATGGCTCAAGTATGAGTCATGGGACATGCGCTTGACGAGTATGCCTTGCGAGTGTGCCTTACTGGTAAGCTTTGCGCTTATGATTTATGTTTCGCACATGACCTCATTATGAGGTCATGGGTTTTGTGCATATGACTCAGTCGAGTCATATGACTTGTTTATTGCAGTATGATTGGTTTATGAGTTTTGCACATGACCTAACTATGAGGTCATGGGTTTTGAGCATGTGATCACTTTGGTCATATGACTAGTTTGTTATGATTTGGTTTCGCACATGTGACCACTTTAGGTCACATGACTAAAGGCAGGAAGAACACTATATAAGGAGGCCGATGCGGCCGAGGAAGATAGGTTCTTCACGCTTTGTGCTAAGTACTTTTCCTACTTATTACTTTAACAAATATAAAACACCTTTACGATCTTTATTCTTATTGCAACGTTATCGTTACGCCAAGGAAGGCGCTTTACGAAGAAGAATTAGAGAAAGCTTACGATAGGAGTTCCCGGTAGAAGACAAGGGTCTTGTACTATCGGCAACATAGCCAGAGGCCTAGAGCTATCATAAGACAAAGGAAGAAGAAGAAAGAAAGAGAAGTATCGTTCCCCGTCGCCAAGCACTAACTATCCAGAGAGGGATCGTTACAACAGTACATTGTCGAGAAGAAAGTTACCGAAAAAGTTCGGAATTTGATGTGAGGCAACACAAGGAAATTATAACATGGTTGCAACGGAACTAGCTGTGTCATCGGTATTACTGGAGACTTGTTTAAGCTCGCAGTAAACAAACTTCTGGTAACTTTATTGTTACGACTATACTCGCGCGTCCCCGCCAAAAAGGCCCCGACAAGAATTGATATTTGGTGAGAACTCACTCCAGCAAAATATCGGTTGGTGTAGGCCTTGGCCAATTCCCGCGAGTACAGTAGGCAAGCCTTGTAATCTATATCGACCACTTTGAACTATGATACAGTACAGTACATCATTATGATACATTGTAACGAGAGTAGTGCCTGACCCCCCCCCCCCTTAAACACCTCCAATTTTCCAGGATTAAGATGGTTCCATTCCGGCAGTATCTTCACCATGCACTCATACCCATATCCAGCAGCCTGCAAGAGTGGTTTCAGATCTCCGCCATATTTACTTTTGTCAGGATTGACATTGCTCTGTTCCAGCGGTGTTCTGCAACACCCTTACACCCATATTCAGCAGTCTACAAGAGTGCTGTCCTGCCTTCCGTCTTAACATTGTCAGGATTAACCTCGTTCGTCTCGGCCGTATCCCCCGGATATCATACGCTCACGCCTATATTTGCCGACGCATAATGGGGGTATTTGGCCCTACCTATCCACCTTGTATGGAAATATTGGTGTCAACAGTACTGGGATTAACAGAATTCTGTTCCGGGACCCCCCCCCACCCCCGTTCTCGACAGCCGGCCCTCTCTAGACCCTGTGAAAAATAAGAGACTGATAAGAGCGGAGGAATTGTATAAGGTGATAGATAGAGTGAAATTCAAGTTCTTGGGATATTCGCGATAGCAGAAGATTGATTGTCCAGTTCACTCCTCTTTTCTAACTACATGACCAGGTCCTTCTTAATAGGATCTGTTTCCTCCAATATCAAGTCCGTGTGGGTGAAAATTTTCATTCCCAAGTAAGGGAGTGAAATATTTTCTCCTGCTAAAGAAAGAGAGTTTTTTACCAGTAAGGGGTAGAGAGTTTCAAAGGAATGAATGAAACAAATCGCTTGAGGATATCCTGATCTCCTAACTTCGGAATAATGAAGCAAGCAAGGAGACTACCAAGTGTTTGAAGAAATAAAAAAGAGAAAAACTCATGTCATGGGGACCAAGAATCCAACAGACCCCAATACGCACAAAATCATGTCGAATGGTCGGCTTCACTGAACACAAGCTCGATCAAGCATGACGGGAAGGAAGAAAGAACTAGCGAGTTAATCCAACCAACTCTAACACCCCATTGCTCCAACATAGATGCAATGGTGAAGGTCTGTCGTAATTAAAGAGTGTGGAAAAATACATGTTCCGAGTTCAGAAGGAATAATCTGATATCAGATGATCAGCTGTTTTATTTGATGGTCAGATCTGACATCTGGACAAGCGTGAAATACCAAGCAGAAAGTATCATACTCGCATTTCCACCCGTGTTCCATCTCGAGAGCGTAACAAAATGCCATATCCTTACTCTTGATACTTGCCCTGGCCAATAAGCACCCGGCAATAAGGGATTCGTAAAATACCCGAGTAGGGTAGGTGGGCAGAAAATCTTTGTGCACTTTATCAACGCCCATACAAATTCACAGCCCCTGTTTCCGGGTACCGGTACTGTACCCGTGCTTATTGTCAGGGACAAGCAGCCAGTACCGACCCTTCAGGACTCTTATTTTGACGCAATTATAAGTTTCACCTCAGCCGCTTCTTATTCCAACATACCGGTGCTCGGGCAGTCACTGTTGGGAGTCGGGAGTCTTTCGGGTCCGGCGTTGTTTTGTGGGTATCATATTTGGCGAATCGTCAGTCGGGGGTGCCGTGATTGCTAAATTTATCTAGTCTACTCGAGTACTATTCCACCTAATAACGGCAATGATGTCCTCCCGAGGTCAGCGTATTTTGACTCGCCAATACGACAGTAGACGAGCGGTTCCGTTAGACTTCAGATCAAAGAACTTATTCACAAACGGGCCCGAACGTTAAGTGACTAAACTTAATATCCACACGGCGTGAAGAACCTGGCGGGATTGGCATATTTTCGCTCCTATAATATTATGATCACCAAATTTACCGGGATATGAACTGCCCCCCTCGGTTCACATTTGAAATGGTCTAGAAACCCATGGTATTTTTTTCGTTTTATCGCAATCACCTCGACCTAGGGATTCAGAAAGCTGTTATCCATACAGGGTATTTTGGGTTCCATATTGTTGGACGGGGAGGTATCATAGATGTGAAGGTTCTTGTTTGTTCTGAGGAGCGAGGCTGCTGAATTTAAATAAAAGAACTAACAGGTGTGCGCATCCATAGGTTTACCCTCAACAAAGTCATACACAATCACCAATATGGGGTGGTTTCCCGTACCCTACAACAACTTATCCCATATTCTTCGTTCCAAATTCCAGGTTCTCTTCCGATTTCTTAAGGAGGCACTGCATTTGTCATTAGCTAGGGCCGGGGTAGTGCAGCACCTGATTAGAAGGGTTAGTGTGCTAGGTATCTCAGATGGAATATAATTGCGCCGACACCTTCGAACCTTCCGGGGGCTTTTTTTTTTTCTTTCAGAGGGATCGAGAAGGTTTTGGACTGGTACAGACCGGGTTGTAGTGCTTGTGGAAGAGAGGTGTTCCAATTGGGAAACGAGTTATTACAATCATGGAATACCGAAATACACGATCTGGCCAGGTTCACAGCCACCAATTGGTTTGTAGTTTACGAGAGGCAATGGTCGCGAGGATTCGACCAAACAGTAGTGAGTGTGTACTTGGAGGGGGCGTGTATCTAGGTGTGCCACGATTGTATGAATGTGGGAGCAGAGCTACACAGCAGTCCGACCCCCACCTCAATCTCACGCTCAATTTTTCCCTTTCTTCCCTTCCTCCTGATCCCTATCCTTCTGCTCCCAAACATCCCATACCCGCTCTATAATAATCTCAGAAATGCTCCTCCCCGCCTCCTTGGGTCGGACATCCCTGACAACCTTCTCCCCTCTCCACCCACCAGCCCCGACCAACTCGCCATTAGTCTCGGCCACCCTTCCTCCCATGTCCCTCCCCTCCAACTTCTCCTTCTCAAACTGCTCATACCGCTTAAACCCGCGCCAGGGGTCACGACCATGCTGATTTGCGACCTCACCAAGACAGTAGAGCCAGGAGGCGCCGAGGCCGAAGGTGAAGAGATCCATCTTGCGAGGGGGGAGGATGACCAGGGCCGGTGCTACGACGAGGACGCCCAGCGAAGCGCGGTAGCGGAGCGCTGTGTAGCTGGCCTGGTCGTCCACAAGGGGCTGCAAAGTTGGTGCGGGATTGGCGGGCGATGAGTTTTCATGGGTTAGCGAGGTGCGGGCTTCCTCAGTTTGCGTAGGCATTTTGTGCTTGGAATTGTTTGTCTGGTTTGTTTGTAGTCCAGGGGATGCGTAGGTGGGGTTTGGCGAGAAGGGGAAGAGATGAAATGAATTGAGACGAGAGGAAGTACAAGTACAGAAGAGGCGCAATTGATCCGTGATGGTCGTGGAGTAGGCTAGCGGGGGAACGAATGGACATGCAAACAAATCCGGTAGATCCGCGGATAAAGAGTATGACTAAGCTGGGTTAGGTTTCGCATAATTATTTTTCCGGTTGAATGCCTGGTTAGATTATTTTGGAAATTAACTTAGGCCACACCTTTGTACTGTACGAGTACAGTACTCGTACTCCGATCTCGATAAAGTTAAAATGTCTCATATCATTTCCAGCCCCCTTCATGATGGATTGCGAATAATACACCACACGACAACAAGCCACCCGATGGTGAATTGGTTTCAGGGCTCGAAATAATTTTTTTGGTGGGGATTGTGGCAAAGGTGAGTTTGTGGGGGGATTTAGATTTAATCTTTCACTGCCTTTGTCTCGCGAGGTCTCCCCGTCCTCCTCTTGTCCATCTTCCCATCCCCCTTCCCTCCTCTCCACTCACATTGCAGTCAACACCTCAACAAAAACAACTACTACAAAAAGCCCCCAACGTGCTTTCATCAGAATAGACAAAACATTCATCATGGAACAAGAAAACACTTCTGGCAAATCCCATACGCCCCCCACTCCAACTGTGGGCCTTCTCCCGCAGATAGTGTTCAACCCGCAACAATATCTCCAGCGACGTTTCATCATTCACTCGATTCTTCGTAACCTCAGTACCAAACACCACTTCTCTGGTGGTCTCCGGAGCCTCCTTGATGTCGGTTGTGGTTCGGAGATCCTACTTCTGCGTAGTTTAATTCCTTGCGAGGACACTTTACCTATTGAGCTTCTTACTGGCATTGATATTAGCGATGATATTAAGAGCACAATGTGCGTTGAGAGCATCTCCCCAGGTGCTTGGACGGGCAGCGCTTCTGGCGAGGACAGATGGAGGCCGTTGGATATCGTTCTTCTTCATGGTGTGTTTGTTTTGCTTTTTCCCCGCTCCTCCGTCCTATTCTCCCCATTCAGTTACTTTGGGTGAGATTAAATGTTCGTAAACAACAATCAATAACAACCAACTCTAACCCGGCAGCAACGCTTCTAAATACTGCAAAACCAGACCGAGCCACCTTTGGAGGTTGGAGGGGCTCAGATAAAATCATTAAACAGACACCGCAGTTTTTCTGTTCACGGGGAGCCTGCTGTTGTCGGCGCGTATTTAGTTGAAACTTGCGGACATTTAATCTCACCCCAAGTATGGTGGAATACTAACGATTATTGGAAACTAGGTGACTTTAAATATTTGTCCCCTGCACTGATTCCTAGACATGATATTATTGTTTCTAGTGAAGGTTAGTTTCATCACGACTAATCACTCGGGTTTTCAGATGCTTACATTGGAATAGTAATTGAGCATTTAGATCCTGAACCTTTAAGTCTCTATGCAGGCAGTTTACTGGGTACTATGAAACCAAAGATTTGCATTATCACCACTCCTAATAGGGATTTTAATCCAATATTCGACATCGATTTTTCACCCCGTGACGAGACTGCGATCGAGTCTATAGATCCTCCTAAGTTTGTCTCTCGCCTCCCGGAAATTCCTTCGCGATAAATAAATCGCTAATAAGGGTTAGGCTCAATGGTGCTGGTGGGTTCTGGAGAGAGGGGATTTCCTACCCTATGCGCCATCATGATCACCGCTTCGAGTGGACAAGGGCAGAATTCCGCGCCTGGGCTCGTAATGCCGCTGAAAAGTTTGGATACAAGGTCGAGTTTACCGGTGTGGGTAGTTTCGGCTACAGCATGATGATCGAGAATGTTCAAGCAGAAGTAGTCAAAGAGTATCTTATAAAGGATATGTCAGGCCGAGTCGATGGGCCCGAAGACGTTGACTACTTTCCAGTGGAACCCGTGAAAGGCAATCTAGCGAAAAAGGCGCATAGTATCTATGGAGAGTGTACTCAGATCGCTATTTTCGTCATTAAGCCTGGCAATAACAATATGGATTTTCAGGGGTTATATGAAGGAGTCTCTCTAAAGCAAGCTTTGAAAGTCCTCCCGACTGCCAAGTTTGCTAGTGATGGTATTTCCATCGTTAAACATGTCAAGCATCCCTGGGTTAATTACCCCTACCCGCCGCGCATTCGCGACACTTTGGTCCTGGTTCAACACTGCTTGAACCAGTTTATCCCGACGCCAGTATATGACGCTTGGAGCAACCCTCCCGTCGCGGAGTGGGAAAAACCTCATAACATCGGTCTCAGCGAGCTGGACCTTGACGACGAAGATGATATCACTAAGAGAACGCGTAAGTATGATGAATTGGAAAACGAAAAGCACTACATGACCCAGCTCTTACAAGGTAAGAGTCTGGATGATCTCGAAGTCCTCGTTGTACCAGTGGAATTGAAGCGCATTTGGGAATTCAACTGGAAGCTGCAGAGAATGTTCAGGTTCAATTACCAAATGTTTGCTGCCCTCTTTCATCTCGACGGAGCTCCGGGTTGGAAGTTGAATGACATGATGCCACTTGGAACCAAATGTAAGTTCTCATTCCCAATACCAACCTTTGGGTGAACAAAATTGACAAACCATATAGGGGACGAAGCCGCCTTCGCTAGAAGACCCCAATACAAGGATTACAGGATCTACATTTCTACCCAGGGCTTTCGTGTCGAGTGCAACATCCCACAGAACCCCGTGATTGGTACTCAGTCTGGATCCTTTCCCTTCTCCTATGATGTCGAAGAGCAACCGAACATCTGGGCAGATTTCACCTTCACTCCTGGTATCGTTCCCAAGGCTTGCGACGAAGACGACCGCACGGTTTTGACTTTGGGCAAGAATGGTGCCACTCCTGTCGCCGGCGACGATCAGCACGTGTGTGGAGAGGATATTCTCTGGGTCACTTTCCGTAAGGGAGTTGTCCTCCTGTCTTAGAATCGCTAGAGTCCTCGGGGATGAGTGGCATCAGGAAGCTTATGTGATTCTTTTCTTCTCCCCAACTCCTGTTGTCGGGGAGTCTTCCTTCCGGGCGGGGGTCTACCCTGCTTTAAGTAAATAGATAAACGGAAATAAGAATCTGATGTATATCGGATAAGTTTGAGTTTTCTGATTCCCGTCTCGTGTCGTATAATCTGTACTTGAACTCAATTTACCTCGAATTTGGGAGTAAACATAAGTCCTTTGGAATTTCAATGTAATTAACGAGTAGGGTCGGGGTCGGGGTCATGGTCGTGGTCGTGGTCGTAGTCGTGGTCGTGATCGTGATCGCGGTCGGGGTCATGATCGGGATATGATTGGATAGCAAAGTTGCGAAAAGTATATGGCTGGTACTGGTACAGTACAGTGTTACTATAGTATGCCAGCTTAATTTCTTAAGGGTAAGTATACCGGTAGTATCATAGGGGCTGGATTTTGGGGTGAAGAACATTGAGTAAACAAACAGGTCAGCCGCCGGGTAACCGCAAAGGCGCTTTTTCGTATCACATGTGAGCTGGGTTACCGGTATGATGATACAAGCACTCGAGTACAGTACTGTACACAGTACACTGCTCGGAGCTTATCTTCATACATAACAGCTGTCCTTACCTGAACCTGCCCTGTGTACTTTATCATACCTTACATATCGATAGCTCGCTCGCGGTTCTCCAACTCTACACTCTACCCGCGTTCATCTCAGTACCCCTCTTTGTTCGCTATCCTTTGACATACGGAGACTAAACGGAGCGAAACGAAACAGGCGTCAAAAAAAAAGGAATGTCCCAAACATTCAACACCAAGTCGCCCACAATTAAGCGAATACGTGCGCTCCCCTCCCCTCTCTCCCTCCAACTCAGCTAACAACCTATAAGTCCGGGAAGCCGAAGAACTCTCCAAAAACCCAGCGGAAGATTATCACGCGGCGCCGCTCGACGAAAATCTCTTTGAATGGCATTTTACCCTGCGCGGGCCGCCCGGCACCCCGTACGCGGAGGGCATCTACCACGGGCGCATAACCCTCCCACCACACTACCCCCTCCGCCCACCCAGTTTCCGCTTCATGACGCCGAGCGGGCGCTTCGAGATGAACCGCGAGATATGTCTCTCGATTTCCGGGCATCATGAGGATACTTGGCAGCCAGCATGGGGGGTGCGTACGGCGGTTGTGGCGCTGAGGGGGTTCATGGAGACTGAGGTGAAGGGACAGGTTGGCGGGATTGAGTGCGATGACGAGACCAGGCGTGGAATTGCGAAGGAGACAGGGGAGTGGAGGTGTGGTGCGTGTGGTGGGAGAAGTAATGGCGAGATATTGGAGGGGTGTAGGATTCTGGCCGAGGAGATGGGGAAGGGGAAGCAGGTGGGGGAGGGAGGGGCAGAGGGGAGTGTAGAGGGGATTAAGATTGGGTATAGGGATGAAGCATCGAAGGCGCAAGGAGGTGGTGCTACTATTGCTGAGTCGAGTTCTGTCACTGCGGGGGAGCTGGATACCTCTACCGCGCACCAACCAACGACGCTACCAAACCCCCATCCCCACCAACACTCCCGGCCATCCCTTCTCCCCATGCTGCAACCGCAACTGCAACTGCAACTACCACTACGAGCGCCGGCACAAGAAACCCAAACCCCCTGGCTAGACAAACTAATCCTAGCCCTAATCGCCGTCCTAATCGCACACGTTATTAAGAAGATTGCGTCGCACCTTTGAGCCTTCCCCAGTTCCTTTATTTCTTTTATATGTTCCCCTGGAGGAGTGGGCTGGATATGCCATGGATGGATCTCTTTAAGCTTGCTTCACTTGGTTTATTTGTTCACTTGGTTTTTCCAAAAAAAAAAAAAAAAAAAGGGAAAAAGTGGGGGTATATCAGGTGCATCGTGAGATATTTTGACGAAATAAGTTGTCTTTTTATTTATATCCTGGGAATTTACACGATTTTGGTTTCATTGCTTTGGAAGGTGTGACTGAGGGTTTAAGTTATTTAAGGTGATTTATATTTGGTCCACCGCCAGGAACAATGCCAACCTGCACCAAGTGCTGTAAAAATACCAATAATTCACTTGGGCACCACCGCCTCATTGCTCTTCCAGATATCATACCGTATCATGCTGGTTGACGCGGTATGATAACAAGCCGCAGGTTGGAGCACCAGCTCAAATCCAACATGTACCGTACAGTGCGGTACAGTACCGCCACTACCCCCTCCAAGGGCCAACGGCCGTTCACATACCTAACTCGTGCACCCTGCACCCACGACCACGGCACCTTACATCGCTAACTAACCATCCAAGTCCAGACGTGCAACAATACCGTACCTGCACTTGCTGGAGAAATAAAAAAGCGAGGGTTTGACTAGCTTTACCCTTCCGACCACCGCCACTGCACGGCCGGAGTGGATATAATATCTCGGTGCCGGTGGGAAGAGCATGGTGTGGTATTTTCCTCGGTAGGGTGTGTGCAGCAAGGACACGAACAAGAACCACCGGAAAACGGGTAATTGGACAACGACTCCTCTTTTCTATCTATCATGGATTGTGTTTGGTCCCAGTTCTTTTTCTTCTGAGTTCAGGGCTTAATTATAGTCATCTACAAAAAGGAAGTCGCTCCTGCACTCCACACCGGTAGCAAGCCAGTTACGAGGTTATTCATGCCCGATGTGATGGATGGACTTCAAAATACTCGAGCACTGCCGGGCGAGGAGGTCTTGTTGCTCGCGGTATTCACGCCTGCCTGCCTTGTCATCCAAGCTGTACTGTACCAGTACACAGCCTAGTTTCCGAACCGCAGACACCCTTGCCATTTCCGTTAGTTGGGATTAGTCTAAATTAGTTTGATGAGTTGATCGAATTGCATATACAGCTAACGAGATCCTACACACCCTGGAGAAGAAGAAGGTACTGAAAAACAAAAATCAGCGGAATGGTATATCTGCTTCACAGGATGAGAACCTTCTGATCACCAACTATTACTGATGAAACCTTCGAACCGTAAGAAAATGCCTTGCAATTGCAAATCACCTTCAATCTCCAAGCTAGCTAATCAACCTCTTCGCACAAGACAAACCTCAAGAAAAGAAAACCCCAGAGAAAAAAAAATCCAACCTATCCTGGTTGTCCGACTATCTAGCTACAGGACACAAATTCAAACTGATTCCCCACTTTCCGTGTTCCTCTGTTGAAAATACAGTGGTGGTGGTGGTGGTGGTGGTGGTGGTGAAAGAAAGGAAAGAAAAAAATAGGAGAAGAAAACCGCGGCTATATAGACTAAACTTCCACCCCGCTGTCCACCAAGCCCCCCTTCCCCCACATCCTGCTGGCCTTGTGCTACTTTGTCTTCTCTATATAACCATCATATCAATTTTTTCCCTTTAAAGTTAGCCTACTTGGTGTATTAGAAAATATGCTCTTTAAAAGAATATATCGCGATATATTTTTATTGGTATCATACATGCTAAATGGGGCCTGAGTGTTTCTGGCAAAACAAAATAAAGGAAGGGGAAGATGTTGGGGAGAAGCGAAACCGCTGTTCAGGTATCTGCGAGCTGGGGTGGTATCATGGGGGTATTGGAGCACTGGGTTGCTTCGTTCGCCAGTGGTCAGTTTAATTTCCACTTTTGAAGCTGGGGTCCGTTAACACGGAAATTTTTACTCGCATTTCGGTGCTGTATGAGGGGCTCGCGATTAGGCCCTTTACTCTATCTAGCTTCCGCCCCCTTGGCTATGCTGCCTGCTACGTCGCTAGTATCTGTCCGCCTCTCTTCCGATGTTTCCCACTCTTTAAGTAATCATGACATGTCACTCGATAAAACTGTTGACGTTAGCGCTTAGTCTGCCGAACAGAGCTAGTCTCATTCCTACGCATGCTCTTCACACGACTTTCATTTCTTGTCTCATTTCTCATTTCTCACCGTTTGTCATTTCCCTCTCAACATTCCATGCCTTATTCAACCATGGTATATCTCCTTTTTATTCCATATAGATTCCTTTTATTTCTTTTGCCTTTTTTCGCCACTCGGGCTATGTTGCCAATTTTTGCCTTTGTTTTGTTTCCTCTTCGTGTTTCCTTTCCTCCTCCCGGATTGAGGATATAAACCTATGAGAGTCCATGCAGTCAAAAATCAAGCCTCACTCTGTTTCTCTCTCTCTCTCTCCCCCAAACTCTTTAATAAAAACATTCAATTGCTTGTTCCAGGCGGCTTAGCGACTCCTGCCCTTACTTTCCTACCGTTGCGCGCCAGCCATCAGCACATCCCCGACATCATAACCCCTACCGCGATTATCATCCCTCATTTATCCATACCACTGCCTTCGTCCGGCGTCTTTGCGAGGCCCACCAATAGAACCTTGGTTTTCCGGGATATATTTCCATGCGGAGGACCTCAATAATACTGATTCCCACTAACTCAATAAGACTGCTGCCTACCACTTGGAGATTTAAAATGTCTCCGGATGCTTTGTATTCGTCAGTACCTGTCTTGGCTCTAAAGCGTCCGGACACTCTTTAAATTGCCAAGTGGGAGAACATGTGTTTATGACCGTTTCCTGTTCGATATTATTAACCTTGTCGGCGTGCGCGCACCTGCAAAGACCAGTAAGCTGCGCTCTGGAGGGCTTCTTGACAGGAGAGGTGTTTGTAGGGCTTGAAAAAATTTAGCTCTGACGCCGTCTGTACCTCCTCGATGACCCTGTTGGCAAACCATCTCGTGGCGACCCGGGCTGTACGCTACAAGACAATATGGAGAGGTGTCAGAATACCATGGAAACTTGAATAGTTGGACCATGAGCTATGTCGTTGGACTCTCCTGTTGGTAAGGTCAAGAAATTTTAGACTTCAAAGCACACGGTTCAGTTATTCAAATTTTTACCGTAGCTATCCTATGCGAGATATGTTGTGGTACGCTATTCTCTGCTGTTTTGAAACCCCCATGTAGAATACCTGAAAGAATAGCGGCAGGGGTTGTTAGCGGTGACGAAAGGTAGGTAGCCGACTAGGCACCCACGAGCCTGTGAAGATTTGCCCTGGAGTCAAGGGAGAGTATTCTCTGCCTTCGCGATTAGCTAGTACGTGGAGTGGGGTTTCGGGTGTTTTGCTAACTTTGGTGCGCATTGATACCTTCCCGTGGCGGTGCGAAGGAGTTCACTAAGATCTAAATGCGTCGAACAATCCCTAGAGCCAATCTAAAAGTCTATAGGAGCAGTGGCAGTAGCTGAATCAAGGAGGGCAGCGGAGAGTGTCAAAAAGGGTAGGATATATACAGGGTGAGGATGAGACCGAATTTCCTATTCTCCATTAAACTCTGTTTAACTCCCGTATAGTTGGGTTCGCTGCAGACCCAGCGGGTCCGTCTGGCTAACCCAGGTTTTTGTTTATCATAAGTTGGCTTGAGTTGGGCCTAACTTTCGCTGGGCTTGGGTCGAGCCGGGTCAAGCCTTCCATCGGGTCGTGGATTTGTTGGGTTAAACCGGGTCCTTCATTGGGCTGGGTCTGGCACATTGGATTTGGTCGTTTCCCCGGGTTGGGTTGGGTTAGGAATGCTCCACCTGGGTTACCCATCGAGTCCACCAAACTTTTCTTCCCAATTGTTTCTGCTTGAGCCATCTTCCCCTGCACCATAGCCCGAGCCCATGGAACCGGGAAACTCTATATACGGGTAACGGATGGCTGGGAAATTGTCTAAATCAAGATTTTTTATATGAGATTCTGACCCTTTGAGGTTTTCACCTCTATCCAGCTATCACCCGTTTCCGGCACTTCCAAAAATCAATACCTCTTAACGGATATGCAATCACTATGAGTTAGTTTTCGTTTATATCACCTGGGATGAAGGTTTGAAAGCCCTCTCATACTAAAATACTTGACTGACAAAATCAGATACATTATGATAGGAATGGGATAGGGCGGATATGATTTTAATTTTAAATCGTGGTTAGTTTTTTTTTTGACCCATATGGGCTGAGGAGGTGATTCCGACCCACGCTACTACCCCCCCGGCCCTGCTTTTGCTACCTGTTGGTTATCAATTAAGTCATATTACGATGCCATCTGACATCTGAACCCCTAGAATACAGAAATGTTTTATCAGTCCTTTCATATGCAGATCTAGTGGGTTACCTGGACTAACCCGGGTTAAGATTGGTTTGGATTGGATTGGGTCGGGTCCAGCCTTCGTCGGGTTTCGGTCGGGTTGGGTCGTCTCACTTTCAACCTGGGTCATCCCATTCGAAGGTTTGACTAGTTACTTGGAAGAATGTAGTTTACGGTAACATGTCTCTGTGCAAGATATGACCTTGTGCTAATCTAAACAAGTGTTCACTTCTCAGCACCAGACTACCATCTAAGGGTGGTAATGCCTAGCTTTCTCCATGAGTCTGCTGGGTCGTAGCTTGCCCGGCAGTACGGTGAATGGCGGGTATCTGGACTCACAAATGGTAAGGCTGCTGACTCCATAGCCACTCTAGTATCTCAGGGTAAGTATATAATGTTATTTCCTGGAATGGGGACTGACAACTGATAACAGGAATCACCAATTTCGTGGGAGATTATTTCGGCAGCGCGAAGGAGCCAGGCTTCTCTTTCATTCCTCACAGCCCCAATGGGCATCGCAGAGATGTTTCGTCCGTTGTTCTTGAGTCTGGGTGGGAAAGTACAGAACCCTAGCCAGCGTTTGCAGCCGCCTGGGGGGCCAAAGGGAACCGACTTGGGCTTTGCAAGCCGAGCTTCTCAAAAGCCTGCGGGCTTCACGGATAGGCAAGCTTTCGGCACATGCCATCTGACTGGGAGATATTTCGCCAGTGCGTGGCGGGAATCTTAAGATTCACGCTAATATCTGCAGATATCAGAAGATGTCCGAAGATATATACAGATATTCGCTAATATCATTCAATTTTTGAGGACAGCTTCTATCGGCTTAGCTCACGGACATGAATAGAAATCAAAAAAGAGGTG